CATCTACCAGTTCATAAACTGGTAGCTTTGTGTCTTCAACTTCTTTTGTTGGATTGCTTTTTTTTTTTTCTTTTAGATTGTGCTGTCGACCAATATTGCCGAGACAGGTGTAACGATTCCAGATGTTGTTTTTGTCATCGACACAGGGAAGACTAAAGAAAATAAGTAAGAGTTCTTGAATGAATGATTTACGCTTTCTTGCTTACAAAGGCTTTTACGCTTTAATAGCCCATAATGGGTCTGATTCTCTGTTGATTACAGCACATTTTGCAGCTCATATAGTCTTAATTATGAATCACTGTGACATTTGGGGGTGGAAATGTGGCACAATTTCTGTAAACAATTTATGACACCATTCATGTACTGTTTTATCATTATGCAGCATATATTCATGTCTTTTTTGCCTTTACATACCACAGCCTCAGGTGTTCAGTATGTGTGACTGAAGGATAACAAATAGGGACACATTTTTCTGTGATATTAAAAGTAACATCATCACAACAGTGGGTTAACGATGCCCTTAAATAGGAAACCTGAAGTATATGGTTGCAAAAATAAAATCTCTTCATACATACAGTAATATGTTGTTATATTAATATAATTATTTTAGTATTCAGCAGCCACATTTTAGAGGTACGAGATAAACTAGAGTTTTAATATTTTCTGTTTGTGCGTGTCTCTAATGTTAATTAGGCAGCTGCAGAGAGACGACTTTGGTTATCCTCTATTTGGTTATCCTCTAGACTAGGAATCCACAACCTATCGCTCCTAATATACTTAAAGTATATTTTATGAATCTTTGTGTTTTAATACAGTATCTTCATACAACTCTCCTGACAGAATTTTGCACAAGGAGTATATATCTAAAAACTCCCATAGACGGTGCTGTGTAGTAAAGTTTGTACAACTAACAAACAAGATTTGTCTCCCCTTTGTTTTCCACAGCCTAGGAGTATCTATAAGTGAAAATCTGCTGAACTAACATATTGCTTTGGGCTTCTTCAGGTACCATGAGAGCAGCCAGATGAGTTCTTTGGTGGAAACCTTTGTCTCCAAAGCCAGCGCCCTCCAGAGGCAGGGGAGAGCAGGACGTGTCAGAAACGGTTTTTGCTTCAGACTTTACCCTAAATTCAGGTTTGGAGCATCTCGCTCACCGGCTCATTGTTTGCAGGAATACCGCACTAAAACACTCAATCTGTCTGTCTTTCATACACAGACCTTTCGTTAGTTTTAAACATTTGAAATGTGCCTATTTCCCTTTTGTGACACACGTGCCGCTCGCACCAGGTTTGATGCCTTCATGGATTACTCCATCCCAGAAATTCTGCGAGTCCCGCTGGAGGAGCTTTGTCTCCATATAATGGTAATGAAGCCGCTCTTTGTCACTTAGAAATAAGAAGTCCCACATAGTCAAACAGTGTTTTTCTCCTCTGTGGTAGAAATGTCAGTATGGGTCCCCGGAGGACTTCCTGAGCCGGGCCCTGGATCCTCCTCAGCCTCAGTCCGTCAGCAACGCTGTGAACCTGCTGAGGAAGATCGGTGCATGTCAACCCAACAACCACATCCTCACGCCTTTGGGACACCACTTGGCAAGTCTGCCAGTCAACGTAAAGATCGGGAAGATGCTCATTTATGGAGCCATCCTTGGCTGCCTTGAACCCATAGTAAGTCCTGTTAGCTATTCTTCAGATTATTTCTAAAAAGCTTTTAAGTTGCAGAGCCTTAGAAAAGTATTCCTAATCCTTGATCTTTCTCTCATTTTGCCGTATTTCAACCACAAACTTTCCTTTTGTTCAACTGTTTTTGCTATTGAGTCAAAATTTCATTTATTAGTCAGGTGATTTGTAAAGAAAATTGATTGATCTGGATTTTATTTAGGGGTATGAGTGTAAAAAAAGTAAAACGGGAGGAACCCTCGTACTTTCTGTCACCACATAGGATTCTGTAAATATTATTTTGTATTATTATTGTATTTTTCAGCAGAATTTAAAAAATGTCTTTCTTTCAGGCAACCATCGCTGCAGCCATCACTGAGAAATCTCCCTTTTCCACGCCGATGAATAGAAAGGAGGAAGCAAACCTGGCCAAAGCCGCTCTGGCCACCGCCAACTCTGATCACCTGACGATTTATAACGCATATCTGGGGTATGGACCAGTTTACAGACCCTCATGATTTGTTGATGTTTTTGGTTCAGATATTTTCATAAAACATCAAAAACTATCAATTAAAACAACTTTGAAACATCATAGGAAAGCCTTTAAAAGTACATATAAAGAACTCGAGTACTTTTGTAGAAAAATATAAATGTATCGATTCCTGTAAAGAAGTGATTAACTTTGTTCTTATTTCCATGAATTTATATTTTTTTTATAAGTTCAGCTCTGAGGTTTCTTGAGGTCAGGAAGTTTTGCATAAAAGCATATTAGGAAATACACAGGAAAGAGTTTTTTGGCGGTTTTTTACTTCACTTCTTGTCTACTATTGAAAACTTGTGACTACATGACAAGCTGCACTCCAAGCTTACATTCTTTCTGTGAGCACCTTGGTATTTCAGACCTAAATAGAAACCTTTAAAATTAAAAAATAACTTTTAATATATTGACCTTTGTTTTGTTTGATCTATGGTTAATAAGACCAGTCGGTGTGGTTTGATGGCAATTTGTTTATGTTGCATGGTAATTAAAGGCATCATGGTTGCCAAACTGTGATAAAAAGAGTTAATTAATGTAAACAGCCCTGGGTTGACAACCTAATAGTGCAAATGTCAACCATTCGCCATTAGAAATGTCTGAATTGTATACATTTGTTTTCTGGCATAAAGTGATTTTATTAGCTAGGTCTGTGTTTTCTGGTTGTGTTTTAGAACAAAAGTAGGTGGGAAAAAAAATGCTTGCCATCCGAAATGTGCGTTATTGTGTTTATAGAATTTGCTGTTTTCTTTTAGATGGAAAAGCTCACAAACCGAGGGACTGAGAGCAGAGATGTCCTACTGTAGAAAACACTTCCTCAATCGAACAGCTCTGCTCACCATAGAGGTAGCGATATGGTTGCTCTTCACTTGCTCCCACTAACCTCTTCACATCCCTCCTGTAACGTCCAATCCCTCTTGCATGCAGGATGTGAAGCACGAGCTGATGAAGATGATGGAGCAGGTGGGCTTCTGGTCCTCTCGCTCGAAGCAGCGGGCGGCCGCTCCGTCCAAGCCGCAGATCTGCATCCTGAACGCGGCGCTGACGGCAGGGCTCTACGACAACGTGGCGCGCGTGCTGTGCAATCCCCCCGTGGACGGGCTGGAACGGGCGGCCTGCACCGTGGAGACGCCTCAAGGCAGGGCTCAGGTCCATCCTTCCTCTGTTAACCGTAACCTGCAGGTGTACGGCTGGCTGCTGTACCAGGAGAAGGTACTGACAACGTCTTGTGTTTTCTGTTCACTCCATGTCTCTCCATTCGTCTTTTGTTAATGAATGTTCCCCCTTTAGGTTAAATACACCAAGATCTACCTGCGAGACACCACCCTGATTTCTCCGTTCCCCATGCTGCTATTCGGAGGCGACATCGACATCCAGCACAGAGAGAAGCTCATGACGTTAGACGGGTGGATTCATTTCCAGGTCAGAACTTCCACTGCAGCGTGTGTGTCGTCTTGGACCCTAACAAGAAATTCTTGTCAAAATTTGAGTTGAATCTGTTTTAAGATTTTGTCATAACTAAGTGGATTTTATAAAATTATAACAAAAAAAAAGACAAAATAGCTCTTTCCTTTTTGTAAAGAGAGCATTTAATAGTTTACTAGTTTACTTTTGCCAAAGCATTTGTTAGTTACATGTCTTAGTCTGACCCTCTGCTCTTTTATGGTCAATAGTTAGAAATTTTGTTGTTCCTCTTTCAAGGCTCCGGTGCGGATTGGGGTGATCTTCAAACATTTGAGGAAACTGATGGACTTTTTACTTGAAAGGAAGTTGGAGAACCCCAGAATGAATCTGGAAGGTAAACGTAAAATAAAAGAAAAATAGATATGAAGAGTTTCGATTATGCTTCCCTGAACCTTGATCCCCTGTAACTTAGTTACTCTGGACCTTCAAAAATCCCCTGAACTGTGTCACACTGTGCATCAGCAGTTTGAGTTATCATTCTGTCTTGGCTACAATTGTATAACTTTCAGTTATTTTTTGTTGTTTTTAAAGACAAATTGCTCCTCTGTCTGTACAATGAACCTGTCTCCAGCTAGAATGTACATCTAGACGACAGATCGTACAATAAAATGTCTTCTCATTGTAGGTGATTCCACCATCCAGGTGATTCTGGATCTGATCAAATCTGAACAGGCTGTGTAACATCAGTCCACCGCAGGAGCTGGAGGTCACCGAGGAGGACACATTTTACTCACATTGAGGAGAACTGTATATAAAATGCATAAAAAACACTGATCCCCAGATATAGTTACGGGTATTTTCGATTATGTTTATTGTATTATGACTGACAACGAAACAAAATGAAATTGCAATAAACTGTTAAAAATAAAATTAAAAGATTTTAGATTTTAGCCATAGGAGGAATACTTATGTTTTGTGGATTTTTGTAAAAACAGTTCAAGAATTAAGTTCTTTCTTCCCAGGATATCCAGATTCGGTCCTAAGATCTATAACGGCTAGAGCTTGGCATGTTGAATATTTCTTATTAAAACCTCTGATTTATATATCAGTGTTGGCATTTGTTTTATTGTGGACGGGTGTAGTGTCATCATTCTAAGATCTGAACTCTCTCTAAAGCTTTCAGAAACATAATAGTGGACACCGGCTGAAATTAACAGCTTTCTTTATCAAGAGAAGCAGATTTTCAGTAACTACATTGTGCCGAGCAAAGTGAATAAATATTCTGCACACCATGTAACGGGTCAGAAATTGATACTGTGCTGCTGAAGTGCATGGAGGAAGTGTTTTCTGTGTTTGGGGTTAAAAATAAAAAAATCAATGAAACAAAGCTTATTTGCTTGGTCACACAGTAGCAGAGCAATGTTTTGGGGAAAATAACAGACGTAAAAAACAAGTTGTGTAGCCACAATAAAAATTGCTGACTTGTCTAGAAAGATTTAGATTCTTGTGTCGCATCTTACAATGCGACACAAGTAAATGCCGGTGAACTATATTGGGATTTTATGCAACAGTCTATTACTAAGCAGCGCATATTTGTAAAATGAAAGGAAGCTGACACTGTTGTATTTTTGTTTGTTTTACAAATAAAGAAAAAAGTCTGGAATGCATCATATTTAGCTCCCCCAAGTCAGTACTTTGTGGAACCGTCTCTTACCATAGAGTATTCTGAGACATATCTTCACAACTACAAACTGGGATACATTTTTTTGAGAAATAGAGGGAATCAGAATACATGTGAACAGAAATTGTGAAGATTCTCAACTGGGACGCATTGATTGTATGTTTCAGGATTATTTACCACAGGAAGGGTTAGCTAGCCCTCGCTCTTTACAAGGCCTCTATGTAATCTGCAAAGTTTCAGACATTATGCAGTTACTATTTCCATTGTTCTTGGTTGCTTTGGATTCTTACAGGGTTAACAAGCACTGAATAGAAAGTCACACCACTCTTTTCAGGAAATTTTTTATCAAAAATATTTAAAAACAATAATTTTCCTTCGATTTAACAATTATGCACTCCGTTGTGTTTTGCTCCGTCATACACATACGACTTCCACACAAAACGTTGAAGTTTATGGTTGTGACATGGCAAAATGTGAAAAAAAATTCACAAGTTATGAAATTCTCTGAAAGTGTAGTAGGAATGAAGACGGATGAAGCAACAGTATTTCCTTTTTTCCACCGTCTCAAACTCAACTTCATTTCACTAATACATTAATAAAAATACAGAATGACAAATTCAAAGGGCATAGCTTCAATAATTTCACTCTTTTTTATGAGATTTTAGATGAAAGGATTGATGGTGAAGATATAGATATTATGAGGTTATATCATTTATATGTACATCCTCTTTAGATGTGGATTTGAAAGAGGGCTGTTTTTGCAAAAATTTAACAACTTCAAGTTAATAAATAACATAGATTGGGACTTTTTTTGCCCTTGCATTAAAAATGTGAGAATCTTGCCACTCACGAGACAGTGGTCAGTCACTTTCACATCAACAAGGAAATGAAAACTGGTAAACAAATGGCATGTTTAAATCTGGGAAAGTCTTAAGTTAATGCAAAAAAATTAATCAAAGCACAGTTAATATAAACAAATATATAATCCAACCTAACTACAGAATTCACACTGCAATTAAATTTGCATTATTGGCTTAAGATTTATGTAAGTTTCTGTGAAGTGAAAATACTGATCATGAGTGCTTATGATCAATAAATTTATTTTATACATTAGCTTCAAACCTATTTATTTTATTTCATAAAGCACATTCAACACATGACGAAACCTAAAGTGAAACATAGTCTGAGCAGATAGTTATGACACAAATTTTCCATCTGATATGACCGTGTGTGTTTACAGGAAGCCTAAAAAGGGGAAGTAATGGGCTATAACGGGCAAGTCTGAAACTGGTGGAGCTGTATGTGTTAATACTGGATTACACTGTACTCTCCATCCTGCACCAAAGCGTGGTGCGAGTCATCTGCAATGAAAGGACAATAGCCGTCAGAACATGTAGCAAAATCTGCAAAAAGGAGAGAACGCTTTAGTGAAAGAAAACCCACCTCTGTTGTTCTGTGTTGGATCAGGAAGTGGTCCCCTTCTGAAAATTCAAATTAATGTTGAAACATGAATTGTGGTCATATTTTTGCAGCAGCAGCAAAGAACAAGTCATAAAATGAGAAGGTATAAAAAATAAAAATAAAAAAAAAGATTTTGTATTTTCTTAATTACCTCACAGCTGGTGGAGGCATCCGGGAAGGCGGTGGTCCAGTTTGAGACCTTAGTCCTGTGTAGAAGTTGTCGTACACGACTGGAGCTGTTCCACAGAAGCATAGAGATTGTTCACTTGCCGGCAAATAAAAATAAATAAATAACTACTTCCCTGCGTTTATGGGACTGGTTAATTGTTAATGGCACGCTACTATCAGTTTGTGCTGCAGTCACACCTGCGGGTTTGTCTCCGGTCCGTCTGAGATTTACAAAGTGCTCGATATCTTCCTGGACATCACATTGCTCTAGTGACCTCCTCACTTCCTCATATAGCTTGGCACACACAGACACATAAAACACAAAATGTTACACATGTTTTTACTCTGAAAAATACAGTTTTCTGTTCAAGTGAGGAAAATTGATCAAACTACTAGATTGATAGGCTGCACAAAGGGAGCACTGATCTTGTGTTATAAAAGTTCTTATACTGATAAATACAGTTACCTATTTAATAATTGAGTAAAAATGGTCAAAGTAGTAAACCAATAGGCTGGACAAAGGGTGACATTAATTGGAGAAAGTCTGAGCTATTTCACACTGGAGGACAGTTTCAGTGTCCAGATGATCAGACAGCAAACATGATCCAAAAATACTAGTAAGCGCTTCCTGTGGCTGGACAGTGTTCGACAAAACAGTGACTCAAGGAGTCTGAATACAAATTAGATATTTTTGGAAGCATTTCCTTCCACTTTACATTTTATCTGCTACTTTTTGCTAAGCTATTACAAAAGCTTCTAATAAAACACAGCAAAGTTTGCGATTGCAACTTAGCAGACAGGATAAAAAATTCCAAGTTTTATGAACACTTTTGCAAGCCACTGTATGGGCAACACCTATTTACAGCCTAGACCAACATTTATTTTCTGATGCCTGGTGATGTCTGACTCTTAAGCTGCTAAGTGCTTAGCTGTGGTCTGCAGGTAGCTGTTAAATGTCTGTCTGCTGTGTGGTGGGAGTGCAGCGGATTAAAATGATTGTGTCAGCACTTTTTTTACTACCTGGAACAACAGACACCGAAAATCTTCACACCAAAGGAGATCTAAATCCAAAACAATAACCTGAGGAACCTAAGGAGCTTATTACCCTTTTGATAAGTCAAAAATATTGACGTTAGCACTTTGAAGAACATATAATGTCCACATGTGCTTGCTAATTTTAGAATGAGTCTAAAAACTCCTTACAATGAGAACTTGTACTTAAAGTACATTAAAAGTCTTGACAGCCTGACATGAACCCCCCGCAAAAAAGCCATTTGTGTTTGGTCAGGCCAGCTGTTTAAGGAAACAGCTCTATTATTGCTTGCAATGTGAAAAAACGGTTCCTTGTCAGAAGTTTAAAAACAGTGTATGCATATACACAGTTTATGTGTATATAAACTGCATCACAATGTTAATGTGATGTAGATCTCACCAATTTAATTTGGAGCTTTACCTCATCGCTGGTGACACATTGCTGTGAAAGCTGGTTGAGATGAGTCCACACTGTGTTCCTCAGGAAGGTAATACGTTCTATTGACTGTTTTTCAAATATCTGGGATTTAAAAAAAAAAAAAGAACTGGTATTTAGCACATCGTGTGTCTCGAACATTAATTGTTATTCTCAGTCTTACCTCGCAGGCGTTCACATGCTCCTTCAGCCAGTCATCTCTAATTTTCCCCAGAGTTATAACATTCTGTTGGTATAATCTGTCTGCCAATGAAACAGATCCGTCACTATGAATATTCAGTCACATCGATTGGTTTTGTCTATCTTTTAGTGCTTAAAAGCCATGCTTTAATGTAATCCAGCCAGTTCATTCTAGCGATGCTTTTTATTTTTACCTTACCTGCTTCTTCTGCATTCAGTTTTGCCTGCTGAGCTTTTGAATGGAGCTGGAAAATAAATAACAGAATCCTCACTATAAATTAGGAATTTCCACATGGAATAAAAAAAAAAGTGACATTTTCCGAAAATAACAAGTTATGGACAATGCAGTTTACCCCTAAACTGTGATTAGAGTACACAGTAATTATTTATTCTGACAAACACCAAGTTTATTGAAGTTCAAAGGTTCAGACTTGCCATTGTACTTCATCTTTTTTTTCTTTTTTTTTATTTCACGTCACATTATAATAGGTTCTCTGTGTACCTTTTCCACAAGCTTGGTGTTGTTCGTGTTAGTGTTTCGGTTCATGTTCTGATCCGCTTCTTCTTTGTCACGACACTTCTGCTCATATGTTTTCTTGGACTGGGCACAAAACCACAGCAATTAGGAACTGTCATCATTCTGAACTTTTTGTCACCACAAGGAATCAAAGCAAAACAAATAAAATAAGAGGAAATTATTGGTGTATTTAGTTCTCCTTTTTCAACTAATTAACTTATTAATTTGAACATTTCTCTCCATGAAGCCGTAACTTTTTTTTTTGTAAATAGTATAACCAGATGCTTGGACTAAAAGCAACTTGATGGAGCAACTTCCTCCTTCAAAGTAGAAGTAAAGAATTTAATATTTTACAAACTGTTCAAACTGTTTCAGTAATTTTGCTAGGCCTATTTTGCTTCCTATACTAGTTCCAGTTCTCATTGAAGATGATAGGTACCACATACCTTAAAACTATTTAAAGATATGTGGAAGATTTAAAATGAGCTGAAATTTTGTTGTAGATTTTTCTTTCCATTACAAATTGGACTTCAAGAAAAAAGTTGACAAATTGAGAACACATTTAAAATGTTAGGAGAAGAGTGAAAATTCTCAGTTCTTTCCAAGAAGCATCCACAGTATGTTTATATGCTAAAAGAGAAAACATTTCTTTTTTAAAACTTGATTGAAGATATTTACAGAAGTCGCCGCAGGCCTTTGCACTAGAGTCATTTCTAATTTTTCGTTCATATGGATTTTCCATCATTAATACATCTATTGATTTATAGAACACTTTACAAAACGACTAAAGTAATTTACAAAAATAAAAAAAACAGACAAATACAATCACTGACTAAATCTGCTCAAGCTAATAGTTGGGTCTTCTGTAATTTTCAGTGTTGCTACTGTGCTATGAAAGAATAATGTATTTTAAGAGGTTTTACACACTCAAATCTGAACAGTGCTGTAACATGTTTTCATCTCGACTCACATCCATCGTCTTCTTAAAGTATGAGGACTTCTGTTTGTGGAGAGCATCCATCTGTTGTTCTATCTAAAAAAAAAAAAGAAAGAAGGAGAAAAGAAAGGTTATACATCAAATTAACTCAGGCCACCTAAAATATCACAGAACAGATAAGAGCACCAACTTTTTTCCTTGCTTCTTTCTGCTTTTCTTTGAAGTCTTCCAGTTTCTTGACCTCTTCCCTCATACTCTGTGCCAGTTGTAAGTGTGATAGACTAACATGTTCAGTCTCTTAAAGGAGAAAAAAACAACACACACTTTTAGTTGCATTCAGCATGGAAAGCATGAACTCAAAGAGTCATTGTAACATTGTTGTCAAGGCACTTACGTAGCTTAAACATATCCAGCGATCTTTTTAATGTGCTTAAAATATAAAAGAAAAACAGATTACCATTCCAGATTTACATAAATGAAAAAAGAATCATTACCATGTAGTATCTTCCAATAATTGCCATATAGTTTCTTTTGTCACAGGGAATCTATACTCTAACTTTTGAAAAAGGACTAATCAAGTGTCCTAAAAGGAAATACTATTCTCTTCACCAGTCCCTCTTCCTTCCATCTTTACACAGGAACAAAGCTAGAACAGACATCTGACTAAAATGGCAACTTGTGTTGTTGAAGTAGCATGTTAGCAATAGCACTTTAAGTAGGAGCCGACTAAAATATCATTAGGTAACTGAAAGGGGGCCAGTATTGTCAGCTATTCTCATTTTAATGATATGACCACAGTGAATTCCCTTTTTTTAATTAAAAAGAGTCAGTCGAGTAAATGACTGCATCTGGACTGTTAGGTTGCTTACTTCATCTCATTGTGTCCACAAACTTTCTTGGACAAACCAAGCAAGTCTTTGGCGTACCTTTCTTCGATTGAAGCCCTGAAAGGAACAGTTAATGAACAGTGAGTTTCAGAAGGAAGTAGATATATTTTAAAATATGGCAAAAGTTATCTCCCAATATATTTAATAATGATCTTACATTATTTTATGTTCCAAAGTTGTGCACTTTTTAAGTGAAAGGTAAGAAAGCCATGGTTTTTACCACTGATATGCATACAAATCTGAGATGTTGCATGCAGGTTTAAAACTTTGGTCTCTAACATCCTTTTTCACACATAGATGCTAGAATATTTTTCTCATTCACCCTTCCAAAATAGCTGAAACTCAGTCGGAGTGGATCGAGAACATTTTTGGACCGTAAATGCTTATGTAATATCATTAGGTAACTGAATGATATTACATATTTGTGCCTAGTTTCTTAGTTTCTGGTTCAAACATGACAAAATGTGAAAAAGTTCATTTTTGCAAGACGCTGCACCACAAACGTCTCCACTGAGATGGTCACTTTACATCTCATTGGAGAACAAACGTGTTAGAGATAAATCTATTTTGCATATTAACCTCTTGCTTGACTGATAAGCAAAAAGGAATGTACAAAAGCTTACTTTTTGCTTTGAAGCATTACAGATGGTTATAATTCATGCTGATATGCATAAAAAGTATGTACAGTTGCTTCTTTTAAGTTACATCGGACGACACAGCTGAGAAAAATTGACTCAATTTACCTTCATTTGCCACCTTTATCATGCACAGCTAAATCAAGAGCTCCGAAAACTGGCTTAAAGTTCACTGAGCTACTTATGAACCAAAACTGATTACCGATATTTCACTTTTTATCTTCGTTTACCAATCAAGTGAAGAAACACAGCACAGATACAGAAAGAAGGAAACAGGTACTGTTACCTATTTTAGAAGAAAGACCTTTTAATAGTGCATTACTTTTCTTATAAACAATGACATACAGCATGTACAGAAACTCCCAACAAGATTTTGTAACAGTCATGGCGCTTAAAGGCTCAATTCCTTTTAATTCTATTTTCCCTTTTCACAGTTTTAGGTATCTTATCTCAGTAATGTCTCTTTACAGCAACTGTCATGGTCAAAAAGTCTTACTTCTTGTATTTTGTGAAGCAGTTTTGTCCACAGTATGCTTTCCTTTTTAATTTAAGGAACTTTCCGTTGTGGTATTGTGCAATCTGCTTTTTTAGCCATCTCTATAGTTTATTACTGTCCATCATAATGACAAGAATAGTGTTTTGTTGCACTAAATCATAAAAAGCTCCTCAATCATTCACATTACCTTAGCTCAGGTTAGCGGTAGAATATAACAGGGTTTAATGTGTGTGTGTGGTGATGGGTGATGGAGCTTGGGTAGATTGATTATTACAGGAAGAAGGAAGAATTTAGAATGCAAACACGTGACTTTAAAATGCAATAAAATGCATCTAAAAATGCTTCACGCACACACTTTACAACTTAAATAATCCAGAAATGTTATAAGGGGATCAATTTAAGAGTAGTTAAGTGTAGAAAAGAACCTTTTGTAGTCTTGCTGCTCCAGGATGTAAAACACCGTATTATATCTTTACCTCTAGTATCTTAAATGATAAACTTTATTGCTTCCCACAATGACACAAAAAGCTACAGTTCCTGTTGATTTAGCTTTTGGAGTTTGGACCTGAATAAAGTCAATTTCCGGAGCATGCATGAGAAAAGTCCTTACCTAGCTTTCATGAAGTCCTCCACCTCTTTGCATGTTCTTTTTCCGTCATTGAGATACTGAATGATGGCATCGTAGCCAACAGTGGAGGTCAGATCTGGACACTGAAAGAAAAAGAAAAAAAATTGTCGGATTTTCTTCATAAAAAAAAAAAAAAAAAACACCTTCTCACATGTTCCCTGAGCACTCTACTTTAACTGTAACATGTTCTGCCTTCAACTTACACTTTATGTAAATTTATATGTTGAGCTTTGCTGCCTATGTTAGAGTGTGACCCAGAAAAAGTAAAACAAATAATTTCAATTTCTACTTCTTTTGAATGGTATAACAAGATCAATAACTGGAAATCGTATTAAATGAGAAATTTTAGAGGGGAAAAAAAGGTAAATTATAATTGTGCAAATTTGTTGTTATGAACTTTTCTGTTTCATGCTATGAGCTAAGGTTTAAAGTACTGTGCGAATGTCCCAACTTGATTATCTAACAGGTGCATAGAACATAAGCAATCAGTGAAAAGGCTTAACACATATTAACAAATCAAATCGAACTCAATTATCCCAATATGCATCAAGTTTCTTCAATTAAAAAGTACATATGTGAGGCGCACAAACTTTTACATTTATTCTCCATTAGAAAATAAAGCGAAATAAAATTATCTCACCCAGAAAAAGTCTTTGAAGTGAAGGTCCTTCATGACTGAAACAGCCAGCGGCAGAGCGAGCGTGTGTATTCCCTCTGCAACAAACACGGTCGGTCAAGTGAACGACTCTCTCGGGGTAAACGTGTTGCGCGCGCAGTGACGATGACGCCGACAGATAGGTGGGTCATAGCGTTCCCCGATTATGTTTGAGTATGCTGCCCTCTGCTGACTGCAGATACCAATTACAAATTAAAGTCGATGAAAAAAAAATGCTCTTGCGATTAAAAGCGTTTGGTATGTGGGTTGTTTCTGAGGGACGTCTTACCTGTCATTTAGTGCAAATGTGTATGTCGGTCACACATAATTCCCTATTTCTTTAAAAAACGCACAAACTGCATGCATCGTTTGGCAATGGAGATTTGGAGGCTTCTGATATTTTCACACTTTCTCTGTATTTTTTTTTTACCCGTGAACTGTCATCCTGGTTTGAAACTCAAACAGGCAGAAACCCAGAGTACATGTGTGAATGTGTAGAAAACATTATGTCATTATGACGTGTCTATGTCTCTAAGAGAGCAGAGGTTGCATTTCCTGGTAATGGAAATTTGGAAGCTGACAGTATTTACCTTCCCCATCCTGCATAAATGGATAATTTGGTCTAATACATTCATTATAACAGCATAGGTAAGAAAGCAAAAATCATTTTAAAAAATCCCTTTACTAAAAATCTAACGCTAAGAACTTCACTTCATTTTTGGATGGGCTTTTTTATTGCTGTACTGCAGAGATCTACCGAGTATTGTGTGCATTAACATTTGGGGCTATTTGTGATTTAGAATCACAATTTTTTTTAAAAAAAGACTTGAGTTGCTGTAGCAGAAACAACAAAATTATTTTCTGCACCGTTAAAAATGAAAGTAGTCCACCCATTTCTATAAATTATTTTATTTAATTAATTCAATCATTTAATTCAATAAAAATAACAACAGTAGACATGTAAGCAGAGCATCATTCATGACCAAGCAAAGTCAAACTTTTGAGTAACCCGGTTTTAAGCCAGTTTTCCATTACTTTTAACACAAGTGGCTAGCACTTTTTAGCTTACGTCACGGCAAAGAAACATGCAGTACCGCACGGACCACCAGGGGGCGCCCGCGGACCACAGTTGGAGAAAGACTGCACTAAGGGAAAGTTCAGAACGGAAAGAAACATTTTCTGGGATATAAAAATAACACTAGCGAAGCCATTGGGCAACAATTTCACGAACAGTGGTCCGTCCCCGCCCCTTTCTGTTTGCTGCAGGGAGTTTCTTCTCAATAATGTAGCTATGTAAACTAAACATCTGCTGAAGGTCCCGCAGAATTACAGACGTGATCAGACAAGTTTGGACCTGTCCGCTTTCGCTGAAGCCACTGGTATTCTTAAGTTTCACCACCCAGGAATGGCATGCCTTCTTCAGATAATTTTCATTCACTGCAATGACACGTGCATATTAATCGACCAGGGGCAGTTTCTGATTAGGGCTGTTGGCCCCTCGGCCCTCTATGCCCATTCTCCGGCCCTTCCCACCCTCCACTGAACCACAGGATCTGAATGCCAGCCTAATGCAAAATAAACCTACTCTACTCCTTTGTTTGTGTCCCTACTTGCCAGTAAATCTGCTGAATTATTGTAGGACAGTTTTTATTGTATGACTAATTTGTAAAAGTACCTCTATGGCTGTAAAGGCCATTCTTTGACCAGCAGAGGGAAGTGTTTGCGCCTGAGGCCCCGAGAAAAGTTTTTGGAAAGTATTTTTCTGGTAAGCTGCAAGGTTTCTTGAAACTTGATCTCGGAGTCACCAGTGACTACAAGATCCTAACAGAGGGAAATGATTTAATATTTCAGTATAAATCGGATGTGTATTGGAATATGTCTTGTTTCTGTATTATGACTGAGACAAGACCTAAGAGAAGATAGAATTCATAGTCAAGATGTATTTTAATGATTGCCACAAGTATGGACATAATGGGAATGACCAATTGTCACGCTGCTCAGAAAGGAGATGGGTTGTTCTGTCTGCCAGAGATGTATATATTTGTCATACCAAGACTTTAATAAAACTTCAATGAACTTTTTGTTAAAATGCTGGCTGATGCTGTTAGAACGTGTCATCATCCACAGTGCAGTGTGTCCTGTGACATGGGCCAGGAGGAAGTAAAGAAAAAAACCATATAAACCCAGGTAGCAGTTTGTAACTGAACAATTACAAAGACCTTCTTGTATGGAGATATGTCCTGTGGTCTGATGAAACTAAAGTGAAACTGTTTGGTCATAATTACATGAATTATATTTGCAGGAAAATGTGTGACGCTTTGGAACACCAGCCTGACTGGGAAGTATGGGATTTTCACTGCTCGTCCATTCAATAAGAAATTATTTTCTAATTTTAACTGACCTAAGACAAAAGAAGTTTGGTTTGATTTAACAGGACAAAAAAATTAGATTGCTGACTTTTTATTGAGTGATATACATTTTTGGTTTCAACTCTAGTTTTTTAACATTACTATTACAATAAATACCAAGAAATATAGTAAAATGTATTTAAATATTATCTACCTTTATGATGTAGTATCTTTTTCATCTTTGTTTACTTGTAAATTTGTTTAACTTAAATAAAGAAGAATCATTAACTTACGCTGGTGAGTGCTGATCTTAAATAAACCCATATTTCCTGTGAAATACACAGATTTCAGGTCTTGTCATATAATAGGTATTTCTCAGTGGGAGGTTTCAGATGTAATCTTTGTGTTTCTGATTTTGAAACTGATTCAGTACTTTGGAGAGCTTACAACAACACCTCTCCGGCTAAATATGCTTTGCTAAAGAATATGCAATCAGTAACTGTTTTGCAGGACCCATCAATTGATAAACAAGTTCATGGTACATTTACTGTGAAAAAACTGCCTCTCTAGGTACATTACCTACAGTATGTTATGATAACAGTGAACTCAAAAACATTTGGTAGTGCTATTATAAGCTGTGGACACGCCTTCTTCAACCATGTGACCAGTTTGTTTCATTTGTAACTTCCAACGTGGAAGAAGTCAGACAGGCAGAAGAAGCACTTCCTCAGTTCGAATGTGACATTTCACTCATTCCTCATTTACCTGCTCTAACTTTAAAATCAAATGTATGATGAAATTGTTCATGTTAAAACAGTTTTTAAGGATTTTTACTTATTTACTGGTGTCTCTACAGTGCTGACTATTTTGTTCCAGCTTTTTTTTTTTTTTTTTTACATTTTTACTTTCTGTCACGCTTAAATGTTTTAGCTCACCAAATCCAATTTAATTTTAGACAAGGGCCATTTGAGTCTTCAAATTACAGTTTCATTTATTTAGGGGAAAAAAAGTGAGGGTCAGCTGTCGCCACGGTGGCAACAACTGCTGTCTGGCATTTTGATGCTGTCACTATGTCTCATGCGTCCGTATGGAGAAATCTGGGCCTATTTCTCTTACTATATCTGTTTAAAATCTGCTGCATTGGAGGGTTTTTTTTTTGCACAAATGACATACCACAGCTTCTTAATTGGACTTGTGTCTTGATTTAAAGTTTATAAGTTACTCCGAGGTGTATTTGCTGGTTTACTTCAGATCATTGTCCCACTGTATAACCCAGTGGTTCCCAAAGTGTGGGGCGTGCCCCCTATGGGGGCACCGTGCCTTTGCAGGGGGGTCGCAGGAAGCGGTATGGATAAAAAAAGAAACCCAAACTGTTACTCAAAAGTGTTTCACTGTAAAGATGGTTTGTAGTGTGATTTGTTTAAGTGTGAATTAAACTTCAGTGGAGTTTGAAAACAAAATAAGCATATAGGTCTATGTCTAGTTGAATGATGTGTGTGCCCAGTTGATTTTTTTATTTTATTTTATTTTTTTTTATCTGTGTCTAATGTCTAAGTTGATTATATGATGAAGTACATCTTTCTGTGAAAAAAGAAACCATCTTTGATTCCAGGAGCTGGTGAGAAAAGATGATGAAATCTCTTCTCAGACTATAAGTCACATGAAACAGAAAAATCAGCCATGTGCTGCGAGACCTGCTGTGAAAGTGTGTACTCACAGTAAGATAGTCAAATGTGGTGAAAGTAAGCAATAAGACCTCATTGTAACAGAATTGCCAAATAAAGTAATGAGGCGCTTTTGAGTGACGTAAAATTGTTTTCGCTAAAACATCAGGCCACCGATCACCTGACTGCACAAGGAAGTTTATTCAGTGGTACTTTCCCCTTTCAGAGCTAACATGTTCATGTAGTGACATGTTCATGTGTTGATTCTTCTGTATGGAGGATTGAGATTTGCGTATTTCACTTTTATTACTGTGTGTAACATATCCATTGTGTTGTTAACTACATAGTGTGGCTGTTGCCTGCAGTATGCTGGGTTTCTGTGCACACTGTGAACACAATGACAATGACAAAACTTTGGAGTTGTGCAACATTTGAACACAAAAACAATCCTCCTGTCAACTACCTGGTAAAGCTGTACACTTACATAAATGTATCTTTCTGATAAGCAAAATTTAATTTGTTATCCAAACGCGGGAGTAAGAAATTATGTCATCTTGCATCATATGACTCTCTGCAGTCGTTTACTTTCGATATAGCACTGCTCTGAACTCATGAAGTTATCACATTTTTAATTTGTGAGTATGTTCATTAGTTTTCTAGTACTGTCATGCCTTACCAGTAGATGTGTGTAATATGGAGAATAAAGATAATACATGTTATGCAAGGCTTCCTGATTAGAGAAGTTTACAACAACATCATAAACAAGTTCTCGAGTGGGTGGAGCTTGGAAGGGGATTCCTTGGGTCGCTACGTCATCAGAACTACCAGTACTTAAGTTTCACTTCCTAAGTTTAGCTAGAACCTGTTCTTCTTTGTCAAAGCAACACAGCGGGCGTTTAAAAGCTCAGAGATCGAGGAAAACTGAACATCTGACAACTTCTGGTCTAAGATGACAGTCAAAGTGGAAAACCCTGGTGAGTTAAAAAGGATGTATACAAACCTGTTTGAGTAAAAATGTGCTTGTTTTACACTGTGGGTCTTAATGTTTCCAATTGTGACCTTGACCTTTTTTTCCCTGCCTCACAGATCTTCCTGCCGCTGTTGAGCTCTGCGCTCGCGAGCTGCGGCAAGTCGGGGATAAATTGTACTGGAGATACAAACTCCTGGAAATGCTGCTCAAGAACTATGAGACTGTCAGCAAAGTAAAATGAGAGGTCACACCGACACAGACGGAATCAATGAATTCGACAAAACTAGCCTTGGATGAGAAGCCATTACTGGTTACGACGTGGTGATCCTTGCGAGGGCTTTCCACTGTGGACACATCTGACGGGACTCGCCAGTGTGGACTTTGGAGTGAAATTAAGACGGAAAACAAAACAGGCGGGAGGATGTTGATCCCGAGGCTGACTGGACCAAAAGAACAACGACTAAAGATACTGGAACTAAAAAAACACGTACATTCGTGCACTGAATCATGTTTACAGCATGTTTATTTAAGAGTTGTAGCAATGGGAAATGTTGGTGTTTCAGATTTGTTTAAAACGTTACAAATGAAACTATTTCTTTCTCATCATAGTTATATGTTAAATGGGGTACAATGGTTGAAGTTTTTTTTAATTGTTTTAAGTATTTATAAACTTATTTTATTTTTTTTTAAGTTAAAATTTTGTCAGGTTTCATACAACCTGTTCTGTCATTGACAGCATTAAATAGATGTTAGGCAGAGTATATTTGAAATACTGTGTCTTTAAAATGTAGCAGAAAAACCTGACTAAATTATCTACACCTTTACAGATGTACCTGTGTATGCCTGATGCTGAGGACATTGTAATTAATGTCATTTTTTTTCTTTTTGCACTGATACTTGGATCTTAAAAATAAATCTTTCTTAATACTATGCTGGGACTGTTTTTTTTTTTTTGTAACAAAGTGATGACATTGTGAAAATTAGTTTTCTGGACAACATTTTTACAGAAACTGAGACAAAGGAAGCTCACATTTGTTAAAAGCATGAGCTACTTCTCTTTATTTCAGGGAGGATTTTTTTTTTCAGATATCATACCTGGATTTGCTTTTATATTAGATTTTTAAATTTAGAACTCATATTGAAATATGCCTACCTCATTCAAATTCAAAAATACTTTACTGATCCCAAAGGGAAGTGAGAAACTGCTGCATTTTATTTCTGATTTATTCAGAGTTGCAGGTGGTGTTTGGCTGTGAGTAGGAAAGATCTTGTGAAGCAGTCTGTATCACAGCAAATTTCAAGAAGCATTTGACTAAAGACAATCCGATTTTCTAAAACAGTCTTATGAAGAGGATTGGACTCACGGTTTAATTTGTCAAATTTTATTGACCGAGGGTCACAAACACCAAATAAAGGTTTGCTGAATGCTACAATGAGAGAATATGTTGGAGATTTTCCAACATATATTGTCTTTTAAATGTACAATGACTCTTCGCAACCAGGCAAAGTGGTTACAAAGTGGCCTAAGTCAACTTTGGAGCAATACTGAAGAAACATATTTAAAGTTCTGATTTTGAAGAATTGATATATTAAAAAAATCTCAAACATATTCTCTCATTATTGTAACATTTAGAAAATAGGAATAATCTTGGTTATTCTAAGTGACCTTAAAATAGGTGTAAGTTATTTAGAAAGTGAGGAGAATAAAGGAGTATATATATATATATATATATATATATATATATATATATATATATATATATATATGTATAAATTATATATATATATATAAATTATATATATATATATATATATATATATATATATAAGAAAATTTCTTGTTATACAGATATATATATATCAAACATTACTTTTTATTTTTTAGATAGGGTAAATAATTGGTGAAAAGTTGTCACAAGCAGACAGAGGTTGGGAAGAACAAATTTTATCTCAGCAGAGAAAGGTGAGAAAATTAGTACTTTAGATGAACAGGTAACATCTGAGCAAAGGAAAAAGACCAACAACAGCAAGAACACCACAAAGAACTACTCTTCATCTGGACAAGACTGCCCCCAAGTGGAAATAACATGCAAACGCATGCGTGAGTGGCACCAAGCACATAAAGCATGTTGAGGCATTTTAGCCAGTCACGTTCCAGTCCACAAAGGCCAGGGTCCTGCAACTTTTAGACGTGTGCCTTTATGTTTTACAATCTAAAATGAAATGGTTAAATTGCGTCACTGGCAGGCAGTCAAACAGCACAAGAGTTCTGCGAATGAGCAAATATTGGAATCAGGTGTGCTGACGCAGACACATCCATAAAGTTTCAGGACACCAGTCCTTTGGGCCACAGGTGTCTCTGCTCTGACACAGCTGATTCAAATCCTCTTCCAGAATATCAAACTTCTGCAGAAATCTGCTAATGAAGTTGAAAACATGAAAATAAAAAACACCAACAGTGTGAATTCAGGCACTTAAAGGATCTTTACTTTATTTTCTGTGGTAATACAAAAAAAAGCATACAGAATTATAGAGAATAGCAGAGTAGATCCCTTTCATTGAATTCCATTAGATCATACACGTAAAAAGACTAATAATTACATACAAGCCTGTTCTCTGTAGCTACATCCGTCAAGTACCCCGGCCCCTCCACCAATAGCATGCATGGTCTCTTTGCTGTAAACGCATTGGAACAGTTCTTCATACCCCTTGGTATGTTGCATTTAGAAATTAAAATCAAACAGGAAAGAAAAATGTATGCAATCAAACAAAAAGCAATTTCACATTACACAAAGATTACATTGACTAGAACTCAATTATAGTTATGATCACATTTTTATTTGTGAAAGTAAGTTTTTACTGACTTGCTCTGAATTGTGTTTTTGGTGTCGAGTTTTTGTTCCAACGGACTACATCTTCGGGATTTGTTTGGGCCACAACTAACTCTTCCATCTTCTAAAGACAAAACAACATTCCTAGGTTTTTTATTTATTTATTTTTAACAAAATCTGTATGATTTATGACTATATAAAATAAAACCTATAGATTCATCAACTGCAAGATGAAGCCTCTAAGGGTCACCTCATCCAAACTACCCATTTCATCTCCTTAGATTTTTGCTGATAATTTCCATTCTTTCGTAGAAGGAAAACAGTTCACACTCAGGTTTGTGGATCAGCAAAGTGGGAAACCAGACCTGTGAATTTCATAAGGCGGATCACAAAAACTCCACTTGAACGAGACTCTTAAATCGTCATGGGTGTAAAACCAGCTGCATTCCGTGAAGAGCTGTATTTCATCATTAAGAACAAAAAAGGTGGGAAATTGACACTAACATGGACCAAACTGAAACAAACCTGTGTAGTAGAAAAATCAACAGCCTATTTCAGAAAGCAGTCTTGTAACTCTTACACTCAGAGATCCCAATCTGAAATTAGTTTCTGAAAGCACCTTTTGTTTTAATTCACACTCAGAAAGCAGAAGCTGTTATTAATCAGAAGCAGTCTACATAGGGAGCTTTTAATTAATTTTTCTTTTTTTTTTTTGTCAAAGTTGCTAAGGTTCATCATTTTTAATGTTACTCAACCCTGTAAAATATCTATAAATACAATCCAACCTACAGGGATAAAGACTGAATAGAACAGGTGATAAATGAAAGGCTACTCCAGGCCTCAGTTAGCTACATAAAACAACAATGGTGAGACTAGCCATGTAATATAAACACAGAATGGACCCTTGCAAAAAAAAAAAAAAAAAAAAACGAAAAAAAAAAAGTTTTTTTGTGTACTTAAATACACTCGAGGTGAAATTCTTCATGTAAGTCACTAAAGGGTCAGATAATGAACAGAACTCGGGTGTTTTTATCCTTCCTCTCTTCCTCAGAATGCGCTGAGAAAGAAAGTAGGAGAGAAAGCATGATGACAAAATAATGAGAAAATCTGTTAAACATTCAGGTAGTCTGTTCTAACAGTAACTACCCCAAACCATTGGGGAACGAACTGTTGGAGAGAGCGGGGGACATGGGGGTGGTGCGGGGGTGCAACCTCGGTGTGCAAAGAGTATCTACAGTCATGTAATTTTCCATCTTTCTGAATTAACATGAGAGAGCGTACAGAGACTAGTTTGCAGACCGTGGCCAGACATTGAAGCAATGCAGGTGACGTTTCTTCTTTTCTTTGATGCAACGCTTTGACCCTGGTCAGTTTCTTCATATTCACCATGACAACTGCCACCTGCTCTGCTCCCTGGTGCCATCCTATGCAAGCAGATCCTCGTCCGCTCGTAGTGTTGATGATTTTAAATAGATCCATAGTCTGCGGTGGCAGATCACTTACCTCACTCATGTGAAAGCAGCCCGTCGTCGTTTTCCATCCAGACACCATTTCTTCAAATCAACAGTTACTTGGTGAAGCCCACCACCACTCAGACTGCACTTCGTTAATATTGACTACCACCAAAAAAAAAAAAAAAGTCATCCAGAATAGATGTATAAACAGGCTCCTCAACCAGAATAGATTGTCTCATTTAAGTGAAGTCTGTCTTATTAAGTCCTTCGACCAATTAAATAACCCAGACCACAGCCAGATCGTTTCAGTCTCAACCAGTCAGGCATTTTCATTTAGTAAATGCAGCGACCACAGCCCACATGAGTTCATTGGCATTGGGCTTGGAGCTCTCCTTCTCGGGCTCCAGCTCCAGCAGGGTGTGGACCCGCTTCATGCCCAGGTCGTACTGGTCATCCTGGAGGGGGGCGAAGGCATTCTCTAGAACGTCGGACGAGTGAGCCAGGAGAATCAGGGAGAGCACCCGCTTGTCCATGCGATGAGGATCATTGACCCACTTCTCCAAAACGGAATCCTGGACTTTCTTGACAAGGCGCTGCAGTGGATCAAAGGAAAACGTTACGTTACTACAGGAAAGCCAAACGAGAAAACAGAAGTTTTTTTTTTTTTTACAGACAACAGTTGTACGTTTAACCAATCATTAAAAGTAAAGGGGAACCCACAGCATTTCCAGAATGTTATAGATTCACCAAATCTATAACATTCATTAAGAGTCGAGTGGTCAGTACAAAGAAAGTTTCACAAAGCTCTAGAGCTTCCTTTGTTTTGGAACTCTAAAGCATCTTCAAATGTATCATACTCTGAAACACACTGCAGTGTGAGGGTAAATATAAGGTAATTTAATTAACTAAGGCTTTCTATTCATGGCTGTATGGGTTCTCTCAGAAAATTTGTCTTTTCATGCCTCATTTCGACACTTACAGACTTGTAGAACAACAATAAAGCTGCTAACTACATACAACAGAAAATTAGGTGTGATTTTATGCCACGTAGTAGTTTAAATCATTCAGATTAATATGGAAAAAATCATGAACTGATTAGTACCCATTTTAATTGTGTAATGACATGAGCCGTCTCACAAATTTCTATGCAAATCTGAAGAGCATGAAGTTTAGAAAATGTACATTTTATAAGTTAAAACAATGGCTGTATTATTAACATTTGTTTTTAAATGCACATAAAAAAAAGTAATTAAAAAATGATCATTATTCTTAAACAATACAAAAAAAAAACGTGATTGACACTACATCTGCCTCTTGTATTAACCGAGAAGCTTTTTGCACATTTCCACAGCTATTTAGATGATTTGTCTTTGGTATTAATGCAATTTCACAGTTTTGGGATCTTGAAATAAAAGACCAGAAAGTTCAGCCGCCTGAAAGAACACTGCAATACTACATCGCATCTCTATTAAGAATGATGCTGCCAATTTTATCTTTCAGATAACAAAAACCACCAACAGCCACAGAAATGTAAAACATCCCATCAATCACATACTAAACTAATGCTGTTTTGAAACCACAGTTGGCTGGCCTCCTGCATATATAGCCCAGTTCAAACACAAAAACAGATGCATATATATGAAATATTTTTGCCTCATGTCATGTGTAAATTGAAAAATATGTAGTAGATATTTCAGCTGTTTAAAATCTGTGTGCCTCTTTATCCCATATTTTGTTGGCACAACAAAACAATGTGTAAGTTAACTTTCATTACCAAATAAATTAATTACACAAAACAAAGAGCTACACAGACTCCACAGAAATTCATTTTGGAGGCCAAAGTATGATCAATCTGCAGATGCAATTCTAAGCTAATGAAATTAAAACTAAATGTATACATGGCAATGTCTGCTTAAAATGAAGCAAAATGCAATAGCTTCAACAATAGCTGGGTCCCAGTACTTTAAACGATGTTTTCAAAGCAAAGATTTTTAGCTAAAAGAATGCATTATTTAAAGAAAAAGGACAACAAATTCAGGTCATAGCCTTGGACACAAGTCATTTCATTGTTCATTTCTTTCATTTCTACTCCATTTCATCTTCTATGCTATTCTAGAAGCTGATGAAATGCAGATCTAAAACTTCAGAAAACAGAAGTGCATCATCTACTATTATTGAGATTACAACACATAAACTTTGTTGACACTTAAAATGCAACTTGTGGGATAAAAGAAAGATGAAAACTTCCTTTTTTAGTCTTAGAGGCTCTGACTAAAAAAGTGCAGTGACTAAAAAAAGTGCATGGGCTTGCCCCTGAATAACACAAAAACGATGCAATGCTGCAGAATGTTCAGCCTGAATCCCCAACTAATTCCTCCCTTTAACATTGAAAATATTCACTTTTATATTAATAGATTTTACATAACAGCTAGATTTACACAAAGACCAAATTACTTACAAGTGGGCTCTATGTACTCTGTGAAGAAGTTCAAGAGGTATGAATATTTTTGTGAGGTGCAAAACTCAAAACACACAAGCTAAAGACAAATTACATACTGCGTATTTCAATAAAACCTTATCAAGATCTAGTGTAGCTGAAGCTGTGCTAGAAAAGGTCAAAGCTGTTGAAAATTAAACTAAGGGTGTGGCTACACTTCATACAATAGCATTCTGACGTAGCAGAGAGCTGCAAAACGCTCTTACCTTTTATGTTACACCTTGACTCATTAATCCTGAATCAGCTCAACATATCACAATGAATGGACAGGATGAACACTGCATTATCATACCTGCTTGATGGTGCTGTTGGTTAGTGGATGTGTGGTCATGTCAAAAAGCAGGAAGTTCTGTTTCTCTGTGGTGAGGACACCCTTCTCGACCAGGTTTTTAGCCAGACGCTCTCTGACGTTTCGGAGCTGGTAGTGGAGCTTCAGGGGATTCCAGGTCTCTCCTACAGGTCAACACAAAAATGTAGCTTTAAATAACTAAAGTTTCTTTATGTTTTTTTAAGCCAACTCCCTTTGGTAATATGTTGCCCTAAGGCAACAGACAATATCACAATACCAAGAGGGTAGAAATCACCCTTCCAAGTCAGCATAGTAAAGATATATAATTAATAGTAATGACGATGATGAGCTGTTCGGATAGTGGTAGTTGGATTGAGAGTGTTCACGTTAATATACCCTCCATTTCCTAAAAGAGGTACAGAATATAGTGACAGTTATTGTGTAAATGGAGGAAAATATACAGAAATAATGAGCAAATAACAACAAACAAAACCAAATTTATCTCTGATAATTATTCAGAAGATTGAAACAAAATCAGAAAGGATGACTCTTCAACACATCCATTTAATTCAATAATTTAGAGGGTTTCCTAAAATGGTAGGAAGGATTAGCACACATGAGCAGAGGGAAGTTCAGGACTGAAAAGCTTACAATATGGTAAGAATATAAGTCTGCACACTTGATCATCACATCATTTACCGTCTATGTTTTGATCGTACTTAGATTGTCATCATGTCAAAACACCTGAATTCTTACAAGTTCAGCCAACATTCATGAAAAAAAAACATCCACACATTGTTTTACAATGCTTTTACATTTAAAATTGTATGTGCAGTACTCTTGTGGCAATGGAATGTTTTACACGTTTACAAAACATATTTGAAAAATGCACTTTTTCAGACTGGTTATTTAGGTAATCCTAAAACAAAGACTGAAGAATTTCTTCTCCAACATGGCGTTGTGAATAAAATGTATGAATCACATTAAAATTAAAGATAACTTCGGTGACTTCATAGCTCAAGTTAAGTATACTTCTGCTCAGTTTCGGTTTTCAACTCCGACAGGAAAGTCCAATTGCCTTCAGGGTGCAGGAACTACAACACAATGATTTCAAATAAAGGAAGAAGTTAAACATACACAACCTTGCATCCTGAAATTATTAATAAGATGCATTTGAAGGTAACCAGTATGGTATCAACTTGGTGGGATTTTGACCTGCTTAAAAATGTAGATGGTTAAATGTAAGTAACCTTGAATGACGAGGACCAAATGGGAAAACTCCTTTGTAGTAAAATAGAGCAAATCGGCAAAAGATATGCAAATAAAAGCACACAATCCACTTAGGCAGTTTTATAATGACTGCAAGCTTTGTTTTACAAAGTCAGAAGTGCTTATCTCACCACTGAGGAGTTCTATCCAGCTCTGCACAGTCTCTGGAGGCTGAGTTTCTTTAATATGCTTCAAGGCCTCATCCAGCAGCACATCTCCTGTTGGAGCATCAGACTTGCAGATAACCTTGCAAAGAACAAAAAGGTAATTGTCAGTGGCAGTCAAGTTAACTGGATTCATGTCTTATGCAAACAGGAATTACAAGAGAGGCAAGGAGTGCCTTTGTTGGAAAGAAAAAATTCTTCCTCTGACTTCTGAAGCCTCATTATCTTTACAAACAAACTAGCTCTACGGTATGCCATATAAAAAAAAAATTGGTGACAAATACTCACCTTTCTTGCCAGGAGGCTTTTCCTCCGCACACCGCAGGCCTCCAGCTGTATCCTTCCTCTGAGGGCCAGTTCTACCAGCATACAGCCGCGGAGGCCGGAAGAAATACAGTCATTCCAGAAAGACGTGTAGCCCTGAGCGGAGAAGAAGAAGAAGAAAAATGCTTACTTAGCTGACGTGTTGAGCAAGCCATGTTATAACACTTCCAGGTTTCGAAGGACCTCACACCTGGAGGACTACCCAGGTAACGCAAGCCGTGGAAGCTACGTCGCTTGGTAAACAAGTAGCATAACTGCTTTGATCCGGGAAGTTATAAACCGGATGCTTCGGTACCGCACCAGACCGCCGTGTTCAGATAATACAGTTATTATTGAGCACCTTGAGAGAACTGACACGTTGCACGTCGGTAAACAGAAGCTACTTGACACACGCTGGCTAACAGGATTTACACCGAGACACTGTGAAGCCAGACACTTCCAGCTGAGCACAAACAAATCCCGGACACATTAGCTACCGAGTGGATAAACTCGGTGTTCTGTGAAGACATTTAGCCGATGACGCAACGTAAACACTTTTAATAAATTAACGGATTACAAACAGCCCGCACCTCTCGGTCCTTGAGGCCCAGAAGCAGGACTTCCTCCATTAACGTCAGCCTGGTTTCCTTAGAGTCCCCCTTGTCCTCCTCCTCTTCTTCACCTCGGCGAGCCTCGTCTTCCTCTCCACCAGAATCTTTCTCCTTCTCGGCGGCTGCGGCGCTGCGAATGGCCTCGGTCCTCCGTTGGACGAGGCCCGAGGTTCTCTGCGTGAGAGAAGTCATAGCTGGGGCTCCGAAGCGGTCGGATTCAAAGACAGACTCCTACCTCGGTGAGATAGGGAGCCGTGCAGCATCAAAACCGAATTCTGGAAGTGGAAAAAAGGAGGTGAAAGACAGGTCGGCCAAGAAGAGACAGCGGCCGTTGACGTTAAGCTGGGCTCGGTGTTCTAACGAAGACTCTGCCCACTTCCTGATCCAACATGGTGGCGGTGTTTCTGTGACGTCGAAGAAGGTCTGAGCAGGACAGTGAACGCTTCTCTCGTGTTGCCTTTACTGTTGTGGGAAAATCCAACACAACAGGTTAAAAGCGATTCAGATTAGTGATTTATCAAATAAATATTTTGATGTGAAAGTTTCGATTAAACTTTATTAAATATAAATATATTGATGAAAATGCATTCATTAAAACTGAAATTCTTTATATGTTCACTTTGTGGATGTCAGTATGAACAAAGGCTGTGAATATAATCCAAATGAACGTATAGGCTGTGAATATTAAAAGTATGTGTAAAACTGTAAATATTGATATTCTTTGAATACTGCCAATGTTAACGGATTCTGTAAATGTTATCTATAAGATCGTAGGCTTTGAATATTATTAATATAAACTATAAGCTGGTAATGTAATCAATATTAATGAACGCAGTAACTATTAGTGAAATAAATGTCGACGGTGACTTACTGATAAGAATGAAGGTTCTCAATATTAACAGGCTATGAATATGGTTGATATGACTGAAATCTTTAAATAGTATTGATATGAAGAAAGGCTGTGAATTTAATTGATATAAATATAGGCTATTAATATCATCAATATGAATTTAGGGTATAAATACCTAAAGGAATGTTGGCTATGCATATCAATATGATCAAAGCTGGTGAATGTTATCAATATGAATGAAGCCATGAATATTATTGATCAGAATGAAGGCTCTGAATGAAGCATTAATCTCAGTTATTTTGACATACAACAGAAACAGAGACAAGTCAACTGGATCAATGAGGAAGAAGAATTAACATGAACAGCATAAAATCAAAGATGGTTTCCAAGTTCAATTTTGTTCATAATTCAAATATATATATTTTTTAAGTGTTCTTGCTTTTTTTGTCAACTTAATATTCATCTTCCTCTTTCTGCATCTGCTGAAGGTAGAGGTTCACCTACTGATCACCTGGTTAATATTAGAAACATCAGAGAGCTGCACAGACTGAATTTTCTAAATTGATGTTTTCTAATTTTTACTGCCTCATTTTAATCCTTTTGACTGTAATGCTGACATAGAGATCTGCATAAACTATAAATTATTTAGCTTCATCTTCTGTCAGGCTATGCAAATCAAATGCAGGCATTCATTTGATTGTCATTTTGCGTTACAAAACGTTGGGCAGCATTAAAAAAACATATTTAATGTGATACTTTGTATCCAGAGAGGGGTTGCAGACAGCTTTGCATGATTCGATGCACATGTAGAGCCACTCAGAGCGGACTGGGTTGAATTTGCTGCAGGACAGCATGCTTTCAGTGGGAGCATACTTCAGCCAGTTACATGTTTGTCCAACTTTGACTTTATGTACACCAAAAAATGAGCAAAAGCTGAAGTTTCTCTGGCTATTTTTCAGTGACAACTGTGAATACAAAACAGTCCTACTGACAGTCACTCCAAAAATGCCTTTTGCTTTGCTCATTTTATGTTCCACAAATTTAAAAGGATGGAATTTGAATAATCTCTTAGTAATGACCTTCATTATTAATCTTTAAATCCAGACATTAACTATTTTCTTTAAGTACATCGGACATGCCAGTTTTGCTTTAAATGAACAAGGATTGTGTGCAACATTGTTTACAGACACAAGATGGCAGTCTTTGACTGGAACCAGCCTTGTTTCTCTTCATCTACTTCTTCTAACATTTACTCTCAATATCTGTGAAAAAACAATCTTTTCATTCCTATGTCTTGTTTTTAATGAATATTATGATACTCATCTTAGTTTCACAGGTAAAGCTTAGCTGGATGAAAAAGATAGAACTTTTTGCTCTTACATTCTTACCAGCAACAACAGATCCCTGCTGTTCACCCCTCAGTTGAAATTAAATCATTGCACTAACTCGACGAGGTTTTTAATTACGGTATAAAAACACTCACACTTTAAAATGAATGCTAGAATGAACATAAATAGCATGGCAGGCTTGCTCACCATTCACATAAATACACATATAAAAGTAAAGGTTAAAAACCAAAATGAGTGAATGTGTTGTAATAATGAAGCCAGGGACTTTAACATTACTCGCTAACGAGAGGACCTGGCATGAGGTAAACCACGCTGACGCTGAATGCTTCAGGTTTATGACTCCAATGAGGCTTGGTCTGTTCCAGAATGTGATGTTTTGTGATCTTTTCTCAATTGAGTGCCCAGTTTCCAAACTGAAAATAATTTACCACCAAAAAGAGAGAAAAAATTAAAAGAACTTCCTAATAATTTGTATTTGCTTAGAATTCCAGCGACATATAATCTAAACTGTCAGCCATACACACCTTAAGATTTTGGATACATATACCTGAAATCTTTAAATATTAATACTTTATAGTTATAAATCTATTATTATTATTAGTTATTTATACCATAGCTTTTTATGTCTTACCTTGAAGAAACAATCCACAGTTGCAGCTAAAATTCCAACTCTAGGATATTAGTTTTATATATTGAAATTCTTGTGTTATAATGTGCTTTGCTTACATAATGAAGAGCATTAACTATATGTCTCCTGATATGCTGAAGTCACTTCAGGAGGCCCCAAAATATCCATGGTTCTCATACAACCTGACAAAACCCCCAATGTTAGAACCCAGTCTCTATCAGTGGAGTTTTGTGGGTATTTTTAATTGAGGCAATGTGTGTGTTCACTATAACAAAACCACTAATGGACTCTTTATCGGCCCCATTTCTGTGGTTTTTCAATGCAGTCTCAATATTTCACAAGCATCAATAAAATTGTGCACTGTTAAACACAAGGCTGAATGTAAAACTTCTTAAACGGTACCCCAGTGCATAAATAATTGTCCTCAATTTTGCTAATGATGAGCGAAAGCTTCTCTGACTGTAGCAAATTTTAAATGTTCCATTTACTTTGCATGGAATGGTGTATATTCTTCATTATTTGACTTTCAGTAACTTTAAAATGCATTTATACTTGTAAATTTGTTCACATTTTATCATGTTACCATAGTCTTGAAAGTGTGGAAAGCATTTTGTCAGCACCACGTTCTCTGATACCCTTAAAAATACAACAAATTGCCTCTGAAAATCGCACAATACAGTTGTTCTCTGGAAGTCTTGGTGGTTTGTTACAGAGCATTAGCAAACAGTGTTATGAAGGAGCACAGCAAACAGGTTGAGGATAAAGCGAGGAGAAGTTTACAGCACGCTCTGATTATGACACATTTTGAACATCTCAATTCATCTTCCAAAAATGGAAAAATGGAAAAATGGAATCTGTCAACAAATATGCAAGTATTTAGAACAAAAACAATTTTATGTTCTGTTTGATCTTTACTACAAGCCTTGTAGCAAAGTTTAAATGTTTTGGTAAATAAAAAAACAATGTGAAACATGGTGCTGGCAGCATTATGATGTGGGGGCCTTCACCTCATCAGAGAACAGGAAACTGGATAGAGTTGATGAGGAGATAGAGGAGAGTTAAATTGGGGGAAAAGGCTTACATTAAAGCAGGGCTAGGACCCTAAACAAAATGCTGGAGCAAGAATTGAATGGATTAGATCAAGTCATTATCATCTGATAATAAGACCCACTCAGAGCTCAGACCAAAATCTCACTGACAATCTATTGTAAAACTTGAAAATCGATTACCACAGTTGGTTTCCATCCAAAAGCTTGAGCTATTTTCTACAGAGGATTGGCCAAACATTTAAATTGCAGGAAGAGCTGATCGGGACTTACCCAAAAAAGACTTGCAGCTGCAAATGCAAGCCATACTTTTTATTAGATTTTTGAAAAACCTTTGAAAACTATGTATGCTCCCCACGTGTTCTGTTTTATAAAACTTTAGTTGAAGTTCGGGGTTGTAAAATTACACAATATAAAAATGCCAAGGGAATATAAAAAATTTTTTTCAAGGGACCGTATATCCTTGAAGACAGCTATAACCCGTCAGGAGCCTGCAATGTAACAAACTGCCTGCTTTTATGACATGAAAGAGTGGCTCTAAAATCCCTTAGAGAAATAATTCCTCCAGGCATTAGGAAATATGCTTTGTGTAAATAATAATCTCTTCTACCGTCGCAGCCAAGACAGTTGTTCAGCACTGACCATCTATGTAGAATAGTTGCACGCTGTCCAAAATGAGGAGAAGCGCCAGTGTTTAAGGATTAGATCTGGAAAAATAGTCTCACAGAAAGAAGAGATTTTAAAAAGTTGTAAATATGAGATAAATTCATTGTAATCTAAAGTAAACTTGTTGATTTCACAGAACTGCTTTTAAATTTTTATTTTTGGTGACGATAACATGCAAGATGGGAATTAGAATTAGAAACGCACAGAGTTAATTTTAAACAGGCCATGACTGTTTCCTGATGTATCAGCCAATAATCTCCTGCCCCACTGACACTGTTAATAAACCTCCAGGGCCCGGTGAGGCCTGACACAGATCTACGGTTTCAAATACGAAGTACAAAACATCTGTATTTTCCACTTTGTCCATTTTGGCTTCGTGATCTTGGCATTCTGGTCCTCACTCAGGGCCCAGATCACTCCCGGGAGTCCTGAAGGAAGCTTCACTCAGTCCCATATTGGAGCCATTTCCTGTCTCTGGAGTGGTCAAAAGGGATGACCCTGGGTGACTCTCTCGTATAATGGTGCACGAGTGTGTTCACATGCACACATGTGCAGACGCTTTTAGGAGAACACCCCCACAGTGAGAACAAGGGAAGTCGCTCACACTTGAATTATTAAGTCTCTCAGCTGTCTGGTACATGATCTCTCACCACAAAATAATGGCAGAGCAATTATAATAACTGTTTAATGGCTTGTAATATTTAAAAGCTTCAATGTTTGTTTGAATTTTGAGCAAAAGGAATAACACATTTTTTTTGGAACATGCAGGGCTTGAAAATAAATATCTTGTCAATTTTCCCACAATTTGTTAGCACTGTGAGAAACACATATGACGAGAGGCCTCAATGTATGGGAACAATTAAGGAATAAAAGGTCACATCTGGAGATTTCTCAGTGGATGCTATTGTT